AAGCATTTCTTCTCATCCTTGTATTTCACATAACAAAGAGTGAGGGCTTTGCATGGAGCAGGTATTCAATAACTTTGCTGAAATGATTTTAGCAGCAGAAATAATGTTTTGAAAAACACAATATTAATAATGACAATTTTTAATATTTCCCCACGTATTTTAAGTTAACTCTAGAAAGATTACTCGAAGAGATTTTCTTTACTGGTAAAAATGGGATGAAGAACAGAAAGAAATATAAGGTAAACAATTAGAAAGGAGGAAACAAAATGATCTCTGCATACAGACAATATGAGTTTATTTGTAGAAAACCCTAAAAATTCCACAAAAAGGTGTCAGAATACATGAATTTAGCAAAATAGCAGGACGCAAAATTAACACACAGAAATTGATTGCATTTCTTCACATTGACAATGAAAAATCTAAAAAGGAAATTAAGAAATAACTTCATTAACAATAGAATGGAATTAACCAAGGGGGTGAAAGACATGTAAAGTGAAAAGTAAAAAACATTGCCAAAAGAAATCATTAAAAGACATAAAGCAGTGGAAACATATTCCATGTTCATTGACTGGAAGACAATATTATTAAGATGTCAATATTACCCAAAGTGATCCACAGATTCAGAACAATCCTTAACAAAATCCTAAGGGCATTTTTTTGCAGGAACGGAAAAATCCATCCTGAAATTTATAAGGAATCTCAAAGGACCCCAAATAGCCAAAACAATTTTGAAAAAGAACGAAGTTGAAAAATTCAGTTTGATTTCAAAATTTACTGAACAGTTATGATAATCAAAACAGTGTGGTATTGGCTTAAAGACAAATGTATAGGATACAGAGCCCAGAAATAAATCCTCCTATATATTGTCAAATGACTTTTGACAAGGGTGCCAAGACCATTTCGTGGGGAAATGACAAGTTTTTTCAATGAATGGTGGTGGAAAAAACCAGGTATCCATGCAAAAGAATGAGGCTAGACTCTTACCTAACACAGTATACAAAAGTTAACACAAAACACATCAAAGCCCTAAAGGGACAAAAGTATGTAAGTATAAAACTCTTCTGAGAAAATGTAGGGCAAAAGCTTCATGACACTGGACTTGGCAATAATTTCTTGGGTATGCACCAAAGGCACAGGCAACAAAGAAACAAGAGAAAAAAATGGGCTTAAAAATTTTTAAAAACTGGGGTGCCTGGGTGGCTTAGTTGGTTAAGCGACTGCTTTCAGCTCAGGTCATGATCCCAGGGTCCTGGGATCGAGCCCCACATCGGGCTCCCTGCTTGGTGGGGAGCCTGCTTCTCCCTCTCCCTCTACTGCTCTGCCTGCTTGTGCTCTCTCGCTCTGTCAAATAAATAAATAAAATCTTTAAAAAAAATTTTTTTAAAAACTGCTGCATCCAGAAACACTATCAACAGAGTAAAAAAGCATCCTCAAAATGAGAGAGAATATTTGCAAATCTTATCACGATGAGGAATATTATGAATAGAGAATAACCCAAACTCAACACCACCAAAAAAAAAAAAAAATCCAATTAAAAAATGGGCAAAGGACTTGAATAAACATTCTTACCAAGGAGATATGCACATAGCCAATAAACATACAAAAAGATGTTCAACTTTTTTTTTTTTTTTAAGATTTATTTGAGAGAAAGGGTAAGGGAGAGAGAAAGAGAATCCTTGAGCAGACTCCCCACAGAGTGTGAAGCCCAACACAGGGTTCAATTCCCCAGACCCTAAGACCATAACCTGAGGCAAAACCAAGAGTCAGACCCTTAACTGCCTGAGCCATCCAGGCGTTCCAAGATGTTCAACATTATTTATCATTAGGGAAATGCAAACCAAAACTATAAGAGATACCACCTTATACCCATTAGGAGGGTTACTATAAAAAAAAAAACCCAAACAAACAGAATATAACAAATGGCAAGTACGTGGAGAACACTTATGCACTGCTGGTGGGAACGCAAAATGGTGTAGCTGCTATAATGGCAGTTCCTCAACATAAAAAAAAAAAAAAAAAGAATTACCATATCGGCCTGAAATTCCATTTCCAAAAAAACTGAAAGCAGGATTTCTAAGAGACGTTTGTGCATCCATGTCTACAGCAGTATCACTCACAACAGCTAAAACGTGGAAGTAACCTAAGTGTCCTTGAATAGATGAATGGATAAACAAAATGTGGGATACAGAGGAAGGAAACTGTGACATATATTATAACATGGATGAACCCTGAGGATATTATGCTAAGTGAATAAGTCAGTCACAAAATAACAAATACTGTCATGATTTCACTTATTTGAAGTACTCAGAGTAGTCAAAATTAGAGCCAGAACATAGAATAGGGGTTGCTAGAGGGTGAGGAAAGGGAATGAGGAGTTAGTAATTGGTGTACAGTGTTAGTTTTATAAAATGAAATGAGTTACATGGTTGGTCAACATTATGAGTGTATTTAAAACTACCAAATTATACACTTAAAAATGGTTAAGATGGCAAGTTTTTTTTTTCATTTACTATGGCTTTCTTCATTTGAAAATAAAAATATATTATTTTATAGTTAATGAGTCTAAGTTCAAAGTCTGAATATAATAACTTGGTAACTTATTTGATATACATATATACGTGTATTTTATATTTATTCTTCACTTCTTTTTTTATTAACATATAATGTATTATTTGTTTCAGGGGTACAAGTCTGTGACTCATCAGTCTTACATAATTCACAGCACTCATCATAGCACATATTCTCCCCAATGTCCACAACCCAGTCACCCGATCCCTCCCACCCGACACCTCTCCAGCAACCCTCAGTATTTTCCTGAGATTAAGAGTCTTTTTTTTTTTTAAGGATTTTATTTATTTATTCGACACAGAGAGAGATCACAAGTAGGCAGAGAGGCAGGCAGAGAGAGAGGGGGAAGCAGGCTCCCCGCTGAGCAGAGAGCCCGATGCGGGGCTCGATCCCTGGACCCTGAGATCATGACCCGAGCCGAAGGCAGAGGCTTAACCCACTGAGCCACCCAGGTGCCCCGAGATTAAGAGTCTTTTATGGTTTGTCTCCCTCTCTGTTTTCCTCTCATTTCATTTTTCCCTACCTTCCCCTGTTCCTCTGTCTTGTTTATCAAATTCCTCATATCAGTGAGATCATATGATATTTGTCTTTCCCTGATTGACTTATTTCGCTTAGCATAATACCCACTGCTCCATCCACGTCGTCGCAAATGGCAAGATTTAAGATGGTAAATTTTAGAAGTATTTGACCACATTAAAAATAATTGGAAAAAAATTAGGGAGGAGGAACCAAAATCCAGCACTTAACCTGCCTGTCTGAGCTATATTTCAGGTAACTAAAGAGATGATAATGGAATTTGTCTTTTCTATTAGATAGAAAATTCCAGATAATAATACATAGAGATGAATGACAGATTTAAGGTGCCACAATTTTGGAACTCCTACTGAAATACTGGACATGCTCTTAAATATCAATAGCACCTAAAACCATTAGGACAGCACTACAATGAATGGTCCATGCTGAGGAAATCTGAAAGTACTGATCAATCTTAACAACACCAAAGAGACAGACTTTAAATCACATGTCTCCTAATGAGCTGAAACAAATAGCAATATCTAGGAAGTATTCTTGACCAAAAAAAAAGAGGTCTCATTCTGATCAAGGTTTCAAATTTAACTACTGGTTTAAAAAAAATACAGGGGACAGAGTCACATGCTAACACCATGAGGACAGAAATGGCAAAATCCAGAGTTTGAGACATTCTGTAACACAAAAATGTTTTTTGATTTTTATTTTTTTCAAAGATTTTTACTTATTTGAGATACAGAGTGAGCAAGCATGTGCATGAGAGCAGGGTGAGGGTGGAGAAGAGGTGGGGAAAGGGCAGAGGGAGAGGGAGAAGCAGGCTCTCTGCTGAGCAGGGAGCCAGATTCGAGAATTGGGTTTGATCCTGGGACCCCGAGATCATGACCTGAGGAGAAGGTGAAAGCTTAACTGACTAAGCCACCCAGGTGCTGCCAGATAATGTTTGTTTTTTTTTTTTAATATACGTACATACCTTGTTTAGCTTTTGATTTGATAAAAACATTTAGGAGATAACTGGGACATTTTCAATAGTGAATAAATATTTGATGATATTAAGAAACTATTGTTAAATTTTTTTTAGATATGAAAATGATCTTTTGGATGTTAAAAATAAAAGTCCTTATCATTTAGAGATACAGATTAAAATAGTCATAAATGAAATGATACAATGTTTGGGATTTCAAATTATCTGGAGCAGGAGGGGCTTGATGGTTGTACCAATGAAATAAGAAGGGCCGTATGTTGATAATTATTGAAGCTAAGTGAAAATTAAAAGTAGAATAGTGTATTATATTATTCTACTTTTCTATGTTTAGAATTGTTCATAGTAAAAAGTTGTAAAAAGCCTCTGAAAAATTTAAATTATAAGCTAAATACTTTTCTTACAGTTAAATCTATAGCATTTATTAGTAAATTAATTTTTAAATGGAAAGGGAAAGAAACATCAGGCAACAAGTATCTAAATTATCATGAATTTGTTAAGTGGAGAATCCAAATTTTGATGTGGTTAACAAACAACAAAAGCAACTAAAGGTTTATTTATTATAGCCAGTACTTTTTTTTTTTTTTTTAAAGATTTTATTTACTTGAGAGAGAGAGAACAGGGGGGAAGGGCAGGGGGAGAAGCAGGCTTCCCACTGAGCAGGGAGCCCAATGTGGGCTCGATCCCAGGACCCTGGGATCATGATCTGAGTCTAAGGCAGACCCTTAACCAACTAGGCCACCCAGACACCTCTATGTCCAGTATTTTTAAAGTGTATCTAATATCACTGACTTCCTTATAACCTTTTAACATTTTGGTTTTACCATTCAATTCGGTAGGATATGATTACTAAGAAAAGAATAAATAAAACCTTGTAATTCTTTGGCAGTTCAAAAGAAATATTTTACATTTATGTGTAACTTACCTGCTGTAAAATCTGCAGTCAGATCAATAAATGCATGAGAATGTGGAATTCGCATTTTACTTTTAGTGGTCAATGCAGGATGCCATGATAAATTCCTAAAAAAAAAATAGAATTTTCTTAAGGCAAATATCAAATAAGCATTGTTTTAAAACAGAAAAACCTCTGCTTGCAAGGTATTTTTAAAATGTATTGATTTTTGTTGAGATATTTCTCATATCATAAAATTCATTCTCTTTGAGTATACAGTTTCATGCTTTTTAGTACAGTCACAGTTTGCAAACTTCACCACTATCAACAGAAAAATTTCTTTATCTCAAAAACAAACCCTGTATCCATTATTTACTTCCCATTCTCTCCTCCCTCTCGCCCTTGGCAAGTACTAATTTGCTCTGTATCCCTATGATTTCCCTACTCTGGAAATTAGATATAAATGGAATCATATATGGACTTTTATGTCAGGTTTTTTTCACTTAGAATATAATTTCAGGTTCATGCATGTTGTAGCATGTGTCAGTACTTCGATCCTTTTAACGGCTGAATAATATTTCACTATATGGTTATGCTTTTTGTTGATTTATTTGTCTTTTTAAAAAAGATTTTATTTATTTATTTATTTGACAGACAGAGATCACAGTAGTCAGAGAGAGGGAGGCAGAGAGAGAGACGGGGAAGCAGGCTCCTTGTTGAGCAGAGAGCCCGACGTGGGGCTCAATCCCAGGACCCTGAGATCACGACCTGAGCCGAAGGGAGAGGCTTAATTAACCCACTGAGCCACCTAGGCGCCCCTATTCATTTATCTTTTGATGGACATTTGGCTTGTTTCCACTCTTGGCTATTATAAATAATGGTGCTATGAATATTTATGTACAAGTTTTTATGTGGACATATGTTTTCAATTAATTCTTTTGGGTATATATCTAAGAATTGCTGGGACACATGGTAACTATATATTTAGCTTTCTGAGGAACTGTCAAACTATATTCTAAAGTGGCTTCACCATATTATGTTCTTAACTAGCAATGCCAGAGGGTTCCAACATCTCTGTTTCTTTGTCAACACTTTTTATTTATTGTCCCTTTGTTTTATTATAGTTATCCTAGATGATGTGTATCTCATGGTTTTGACTTGTATTTTCCTGATGGCTAATGATGTTAAATGTTTTAAGTGTATACTGGCCACTTGTACATCTTTGGAGAAATGTCCACTCAAATCTTTGGCTTATTTTTAATTTAGATTTTTATATATAATGTTTTATTTTTAGTTGTAGAAGTTCTCACATTCTGCACATTGGCTTTTCACTTTCTTGAGAGCATCCTATGATGTACAGAAGTTTTTTTCATGAATCCTGTTCATTTATTTTTTTTTTTTTTTGCTGATTGTTCTTATCTCATCTGTTCTTATCTGTCATAGCTAAGAATCCATTTTAAAATCCAAGTTCATACAGATTTACCCATATGCTTTCTCCTGAGAACTTTATAGTTTTAGCTCTTATATTCTTTGATTCTTTTTTAAGTATAAGAAAAAATGATTTAATATTATCATAGATGTTTTTTCTAAGACAATAAAGAATGATGATTATCTCTTATGAATATTAATTCCAACATTTTGAGCCAAAGAATAAATTTAGAATCTTAAACCATATATCAAAAATTAACTCAAAATGGATCAAGGGTCTAAAACTATAAAACTCTTGTATGAAAACCTATGGGAAAATCTTCATGACCTTGGATTTGGAAATGGAATTTTAGATATAATACCAAAAGAATTCAACAAGAGAAAAAATAGATGAATTAGATTCATTAAAACTAAGAACTTTTGTACATCACAAGATACTATCAAGGAAGTGAAATGAGATTCACAGAATGGGAAAAAGTACTTGCAAATATCTTATGTCTGACAAAGGTCTAGTATCTATACATAAAGCCTTTACAATTCAACAATTAAAAAAACCTAATTAAAAAGTGGGCAAATGACTACATCTAAGAACATACACAAATGGCTACTAAACACATCAAAGGACGCTCAACATTGTTAGTCATTAAGGAATTATGAAAGAAGACCATAATGAAAAACTACTTCACAACCACAGGATGGCAATAATCAAAACCAAAAAAGAATAAGTGTTGGGGAGGAAGTGAATAAACAGGAAATTTTGTACACTACTGCTGGGAATATAAAATGGTGCACTACTTGTGGAAAAGTCTGGCAGTTCTTCAAAAAGTTAAACCTAGAATTACCACAAGACCCTGCATTTCTATACTCAGGTATGTACCCAAAACAGTTGAAAACAAGTATTCAAACAAATACTTGTACATGAATACTCTTAACAGCACTATTCACAATAACCAAAACCTGGAAATAACCCAAATGTCCACCAATGGATGAATGGATAAACAAGATGCCATTCATACAATAAAAATATTTCATAGCCTAAAATGAAAATACCCTAAGTACTGATACATGGTACAACATGGATGAACCTTAAAACATTATGCTATGTGAAAAAAGCCAGACATAAAAGGTCACATCCTGTATGATTTCATTTAGATGAAATACCAATGATAGGCAAATCCATAGAGAGAGAAAGCAGATTTAGCAGTTGCCAAGGGCTGGGGGTAGGGGGAAAGGGAAAGTGATTGCTTAATGGGTACAGAGTTCCCTACAGAAATGATGAAAAGCTGCTGGAAGTAGGTATAGTCACAAAACATTGTGAATACACTAAATATCATTAAACTGTATGCTGCATATGGCTAATTATACATTATGTAAATTTTGTTTAATTATAAAGAACAATCATATAAAGTTTTCATATATCCCTCATTCAGTTTCCTTTAATGTCAACATCTAATTTAACCATAGTACAATTATCAAAACCAGGGAGGTCACACTGGTAGATTATTATGAACTATAGAAGAGCGAGCAAATTTAAATAAAATAATTTCTCAATTCATCATCAGTAGAACACACTCCATTGTCAAAGTCATTGTCATTTATCAAGGCCCTACTTTTGCTTATCTTACTGGTATCCAAGTACACTCTTCTCAACTAATAGCACTTTTTAAGATGTAAGCTCCTCTGAGGGACCCATCAGAGGCTCAATAGGTTAAGCATCTGACTCTTGATTTTGGCTCTGGTCACGATTTCAGGGTCATGGGATTCTCTTTCCCCCTTTTCCATGTGTCTCCCCACATGTTCAGACACGCTCTCTCTCTCTCTCTCTCTCAAAATAAATAAATAAATAAATAAATAAAATATGTATGCTCCCCTGGATATCCTGATTCATAGATATTTCTATCTACATAGTCTAACCAGGATATGGCTCCCATATAGTGGCTGAAATGAATCATGGTCTAATTAGCAAATACTTGCTACACTGCATCATAGTATTAAGTAGCATTTCTTATTCTTCTCTACCTCTAGTTAGAGCATGCTATTTTTTTTCACAATACGATGTTCCAGTGACATATGGAAGCACAGATATGTCATCTCCAAAGAGAAATTTAAGGCTAATTAATAAGTCAAACTTAATTATCAATATATCATCTAAGTGACTGGATAGCAAACAAGATTTATTTGAACTTGGTTTTAATGTGTTGGGAAAGCAGAGAGAAACAATTGACTAATTTTCTCTTGGCAGGTGGAGTCTGGGAAAAAGAACAAGCATTCATCAGGAGGAAATTTTCCCTACCCAAAGAATCCATGTTCTACAAACAGTAACTTCTTCCCAATATCCTCATACACACTTTTTAACATACTGTAGGCTTCATCTGTTGCCTCACAAGACAGTAAAACTAAAACTAAGCAATGTTTGCATAACCCAGTTTTATTATTTTAATGAAAATCCCAAAGTATAAGGTTATGACCATAAAATATGAAAGTGAGACACTGTATTCAGCATTCAGTGTAAGGGAATTCAATGCCAAGCATTCATGTCATGTTTTTCTTTCATACTTCACAAGGTTAGAAATGCCTAAAATAATTTCAATCAAGTCTAATTTAGTAAGGCCAGTTCACTTCTTTTTAAGATAGACCATTTATTCACAGGTTCTTTAAATTCTGAGCATTAAAGTATTTTTAATTACTAACAAAATAATCAGAGGCAGGCTAGAGAGATTCTATAACAAGTTTAACCCAAAGTAATTTCAGAAGTTTCCTAATGTTCCCAAGAAATTTGTAATTATAGGCCAAAAGTGAATTAAAAATTATAAGCTTCTACAGAATTGAGCTCAATGAGGTTAATCATGTGGTTGCCTTTAATTTCTACCTGAGAAATTACTGATTCCATTCCTTAAAAATCTTTTTATAAGTTTGCTTTGAAATAAGTTATAGTTAGAATTCTAGAAAACTTCAACTAACTCCTAGAAACTACTTGACAAAAATGTACATTTCAAATAAAGAATTTAGAAGAGCAATAAACCAAAAGTGATAAAGTGGCAGACTAGGGGCCAAATTCAGCATAACAATGTGTTTTATTTGGCTCATATATTGTTTTAAATATTTTGCATTCGTTGGAAAAAAATAAAAAATCAGATTTCACATAAAAATCTTCTTTCCAGCTTCTCTTGAAATACTAGTTCTGGTAACCAACTGGCCCTTTTCAGACAGAGCTATAGTGCCTATGGGCAGCCAAAGTCCCCACATTTCCAAACTGCTTCACTCACTTTGGTTTCCTTCTGGGTCTCTTTAGACATTTGAGTTTGCAACTCCTAACAAAATATTAATTATAATCTTCCTTTCTAGAACTCTTCCAATCAATATTCAAGGTCTTCACAGTACTTTAAGTTTTATACTTGTTGCCCATACTCTGTTAAATTACAGTTATGTCTCTTAAAAGGCAGTTAACTGATCCTTATATTTTATAGTGGTAGAAGGGGGTAGAAGGGAAGAGCTATTATTTCTTTTTGTGATGCATTTTAAGATAGTTGAAAATTAAATATATATACAGTTGTATATCAAAATTTTATTTTTTAAAAATTTAAAGTTGAAAATAAAATTCATTTTCCTCTACCTTTACTGTTGTTCTTTGTACACAACAGTTTTTCAATAAGAAGCAACAGAAACCATCTTTATAAGCAACTGTATTCATATAGACTAT